CTGAGCTAAGGGCAGGCCCCCGAGGACCACTCAGTAGGGAAGGGAAGTCTCTTTACCAAAACACAGCTTGGAGTGAGGGATATATATATATATATAGCTCAGCAGCAAAGCACAGGGACCAGGGTTCGATCCCAGGTCCCACATGTCACACCCTGCCCCCAGGGTGCACTGAGCTAGAGTCCAGGCCTGGGGGTGCACACCTGTAATCTCAGTGCTGGGGAGGCTGAAAACAGAAGGATCACTCTGAGTCTGAGCTGCATAGGAGACCCTGTATTAAATACATAACATGAAGAAAAAAATATATATGGGGGGGAATTTTTAAAATTACCTATATTTTACAAAGTTTTAGAAAATGTGAAAAACAAATGAAAGACACGTTTTATTTTAGAGATGTAAACAGTTTGTGCTCTGCCCACATTAAAAGTATATACTCGTGTAGATGATGGGTAAGTTAGTCTTTTCTTGTTTTGAAAATGTGAATTTTGTTCTAACTAGATTGATATCTTAGGAAAAAATTTGCGCATCATACAGACTTCAGCTTTGCTAACACGTGAATTCATTGGCAAGAAACATTAAATGAAAGTAGAAAACTATGTCCAGCTGAACTAAGTTGTATATGAATACAAAATAAGCATACGTACACACACACATTCACACACACGTTCTCTCTCACTCTCTCTCTCTCACTCTCTCTCTCTCTCTTTCTGGGACATTGCCCTGTGCCGTGCTTAGCCCAGGCACCATGAGCCTGTCCCACCTATCACTGGTGTCACAGCTCTCCATTTGACCTCCAGTCACCCTCCTTCCACCTCAACACAATGATCCATCCCCTGGCTCTCGCCCACTCACCACTGTAAGTAACCTTAGGTCTTTTCAGGAGGACGGCCATGCAGGACTATTTTTATCTATTTCTCAGCCATTTGTATGTGTCAAGCCATTACTAGTAGGTTCTTTTGTCATTATTCTTTGTGTCACTGACAAAAATTTTTTATTATTCCCTAACCCTACTTCCCATCAGCCTTTGTTTTTTTGTTTTTTTTTTTTTTTTTTTTTGCAGAATCTTGTATAGCCTGGTGATTCTTTGGAAGGCATATGTTGCATTATGGCAGAACTATATTTTTACATACAGTATTTGATGTAAACTCGTTATAATGACTAGGTATTTCTGCTGATAGTAGTTTTCTCATAAACTCAAGATGCCAAAACTGTGATTTCTGTAATAATAAAGCTTACCAGAATGATATTGGTTATTTGCATGATGTGATAACAAAATAAGTTTTTGGATAATGCTTATTGTACGAAAGTAGAAATTGTGAGATTATTGTAGAAATGGGTGCTAATATTCTAGAGCTGTGTATTCCAATACAGTGGCTACTAGTAACATGTTGCTATTTAAATTTCAAGCAAATAAAGATTAAAATTCAATTCTCAGGCAGACTGGCTGCACCTCCAGTCCTCAGTAGCCAGCACAGGTCGTAGAACTGACTAGCACAGGGGTAGCTGTAGAACTTCCCATCCTCGCCAAAAACATAACCGTGATGATGAACTGGGCAAATCGAAGTGCATTTCCTCCAGTCAGGTACATTTGTGTGAAACCAATACTTTAAGATAAGTTTTCAGATTTTAGTTTCTTTCCTAAGTTCTGATAAATCCATCTTTCAGAATCACATAGAACAAGAGGTTCAAGACTGTGTAGACCCACTACCAGGCACTACGTGTGGGAAAAAACTTAATCAATCTGAAATCATACGAAGCTTTAAAGAAAATATATGTTTATGGGGTACACCCCTTGTTTAGTACTGTGTCTGAAATAAAGGTTAAAGTGTATTCGGTGATCTGATGCAGGTTCGCAGACCTGGGACACACTGTAGCTGGTGTCGAAATCAGTGAACTTGGGATACGCGAGTTTTTTACGGAGCAGAAACTTTCTTACTCAGAAGAACCGATCCCTGAAATTCCTGGAGCAAAAGTATTTAAGGTTAGTTTTGATTTTGGTTGAAAAATAAAACCCTGTGTTCCTACCTTCTCAATAGCTGTTTTTCTGGATGTGAGTGAACGAGGTCGCAAGCCTTGGGTGGTTCCTCTTCACCCCACAGGTTTGCTGAGACATTATCTACTATCAAGTGCTAGGGTCTCAAAATATGGGTAATAGGCAAAGCCAATCTGTCAGAGCCTCTCTATATTCCAGTTTTAGGGTTGCTTTTCTTCTTGTGTGGGTTTTTGTTTATGAGGTGCTTTTGCGGTACCAGGGATCAAGCCCAAGGCCTTGCGCATGCTGGGCAGGTGCTCTACCACTGAGCTACGTCCCAGTACCCTTTCCTCCTTTTCTCAGGCTGCTTGGTCAATAAATGTATTGTCTGTGCTTAAAAATACTGTTCAGTGTGGCTCTCTGCAGTCTTTTCCTGAGCTTTGAGGAAGCCTGTCTCCTTTGGAGCTCCTTGATCTTCTACCCAAGGGATGTTGGAGGACAGTTTCTGTTCCACCTCCCCCCCAACCTTTTATTTTTTTATTTTTAGGGCAGGGTCTACAGGGTGTTCAGGGTCTCACTACTAGATCGCACTCATAGTGAGCCGCCTGTTTACAGCCCCCCAAGTGCTGGGATTACAGGTGCACGCCAGCATACCCAGTCTCAATTGCTTCACAGGGCACCTCAGGGGCGGAGCCAGCGTGGGAGGCCTGGGGATTGAACCCCTGGCCCCTGAGCCTGCTTGCAGGCACTTTCATCCACTGAGCTATTTGGCCAGCCCTTGTTTTCCCTTTTTCACTTCTCCCTTGGGCAGCTTCTCCAAGGCCAGGTCTTCTCATACGGTGGCCCACAATGCCTTAGACATTTCCTGTGTGTCTGGGGCTCCGTCGCGATGCCCATGCCAAGAGAACTGTTTGTTTCGTGTAACCATCCTCATTTTCTGGCATTAGGTACCACATTTGACCTGCAGTGTTCTGACGCACAGATGTGCTTCCGATGTACTTCTGCCCTGAGCTTGCTTTCGGAATGACAGCTGGGGCATTACCTGGTGCTCTGAGGAATAGACAAGCCTCCATCCACAGCTCCCCACAGCGCCCCTCAAATTCTTTGCGTTATTGTCCTAACAAGGCCTGCATCCACCCAGCTGGTGGAGGCACCAGGTTGTCCATCGACACTCTGGTCAGCTCCACGTGGCCTCCACGGGTGTTGTGCATCCCTCACCTGTGGAGAAGCCTGCGGGCCACAGCGTGATTTTTCAGGCCAGCTTACACAGCACATGTTGGCAGTACATAGGTGTGCTGTGCAGACTGTCCGCTCCCTTCTACAGGGGTAGGCAACCCAACAGGTGCTGTCTGTGACACAAACTGTCATCCTGTATTTACGTATATCATGCTTGCTTTTGTCCTAAATTGCCAAGTATTGCTGAGCATAGTAATCAGTTTTTCTCTCATCTCCTTCAAAATTTCACTTGGTACCTCCTAAGTAGCCCCTGTTCTTGAAAACTTTAACAAACCCCCTGCTGCAGAACAGAGACCCATGTCTGACTCAGCATAGATTTTCAGGCCCAGCAATGCTGTTAGGGGAAAGCCTCTCTTTTTCTTAACAAGCATTTCATGAGAACCTGCCAGGTGCCAGATATCATGTAAGGCATGGAAGAAAAAAGATAACATACTCCATACCCTACATAATCTCTTAGTTTAGGAGAAAAGAAAAACAGAGACCAAGTTGTTATAATACATGGAGCAAAGTATAAGAACAGAGAGAATTAAGGGAATGGCAGGAGAGTGACTCAGCCCTGCTTGGGGCGCTCCCTGATGCATGGTGAGGGACAAGGGAGGGGACAGGAATGGCTCAAGGCTTTGGTGTGAGAAGCCCTGGGAAAGCAGTGTTTCCTCCTTTACAGTAGGCTTTTAAACAGGAGCATGACATGGCAGGGTTTTCTTTAGAGATCCATCACCTTATGACTTCATGGGAAGTCATTTGAAGGGGAGGAGCTTCCTGGCAGAGTGATGTAATAGGAGGGTGTGGGCCATGGTCAAGGAATAAAACCATAAAGACCCGGAGTGGCAGCGTATGGAGTGAGAAGGCTGGATTAAGGTAGCGTTTCCCACATCCAACTGGCGGGATCCAGTCATTAGCAGGTCTGAAGGGTACCAGGAGCTCTCCTTTCCAGCTCCCATGGCTGGTCCTGGTGTAGAGAATAAAGAAGCAACAGCACGATGCAGGCCAAGCCAAGAGGACGGTGAGATCCAGCCTCAAACACAGAAAAAGAAAGAAAAAAATGAGAGAGCTTTGAAAAATGACTCTGTGCTGGAGCCAATGAGTTTAAAAGCCTAAGAAATTACAAAGGAAGGTAGTGTGTGGGCTGGAAATGACAGTTTGGGGAGTTGTCCTCATGCTGTGAGCAGAGCTATGCAGAAAAACTGCTTCCCTAGCGTGGGCTAACAACATGGAAGCAAACATGTTCCCACTAAGAACCCCAGCGCTGTATGTCAGAAGACAGCCACCACTTGGGTTTGGCAGAGACAGAGTGGGGGGAGGAACGAGACGCTATCGTGGAGAAAGGGGCAGGTGTGTGCCGCAGGTGTACACTGCAGGTGTGTGCTGCAGGTGTGTGCTGCAGGTGTGTCCTGATGGAAGTTGTGAGCAGCTAGAAGGGGGCGGCTTGGCTTAGAGAGCGATTTGGCTTTCTCTGGTTGGTCTATGTCGGAAAGGGGAGGGGATGGGAAATATCAGGGGTTATCCAGGTGGCTGCTGACCGTGCTGTGGTTTCCAGGCCAGTGGCTGCAAGGGTTGCGTTCTCTTGTCCTGAATAGCCTGGCTGTGTCCCTTGGTCCATTTAGTCTCTTCCAAATGTTCCTTTCTAAATACTGAAACTTAACAGCTTAGACTAGTAAAGGCTTGATCCACATTATTTATAGCTTTCCCCTACACCATTCTCAAGTCATCTGTGAATAATTCTGGTTTATTCTGTCCAAAGAGACCAGACCCACTTCCAAACCCCTTTGCAGGCAGTGGCTGCACCCTGAAAATCTTCCATGAATCTTTCCAAAAATCCCCAGGGCCAAGCTCCATGAAACCTTCTAGGAGTGAGGTCCTCAAAAGCTGTCCAGGGAGCCCAGACTTCTGCAGAATGCAGTCCGCCATGCCTCCAGGACGGTGCCCCCAGCCCATCCCGTCCTGAGTTCTGGCAGCTGTCTCACGACACCCGTCACAAGCCAGCCCTATCTGCCTTCTCCAGCACACCCAGGCTGTCCTCTGTGCCACCTCCTGGGATGGCAGCCGTACACCCCACACCCAGCTTTCCTGAGTAACTTTAACAGTACCTGCCCGCCACTATGAGCATGCCTGGTAGCTGACTGACCTGGGGATTTGTCTTCAGCACAGTGAAAATATCGGAACTCTGCTCAAGCTAACATTGCTAGAATTTTAATAAGCTTCGAAACAAGTAATAGTCTGGTGATCTTCAAAAATGCCCTCTCTGAATTTCCACTTTGAATTGACCCTAAAGAACCTCACATGTGATTTGGTTTGGTTTTTTGGTATTTCTGTGGTCCTGGGCTTGAACCTGGGGCCTTCACACTGAACTATGTTCCCAGCCCATTGTTATTTTGAGACACAATTTCATTATGTCACTAAACTGCCTGAGCTGGGCTCAGTCTTCCTGACTCAGCCTCCCAGAATGCTTACAAACCTATATAAGCTTTAAACGAAAAAGAGGACTGTTAAACCATAGTCAAATTATTGACCCCCCCCATTGTTTTCCTACCACCTTTGCCTTGATTGGCCCCGTCTTCTTTCCTGAGCCATTCAATTATCTCCTAATGAAGTAGAAAACGTTTTTTTCATTGTTTCATTACAGAGTTCTTCAGGGAACATCTCACTGTACTGCTGCAGCATTTTCGATCTTCCCAGGTAGGACCGAGGAATAGAGCTGCACTTTTTAAAATGTGGGTGATAGTCAATTTCGGCCCTCCCGTCCATCTGCACACCAGCCAGGAAGCCCTGGCCAGGATCCCCATTCTGCAGTTATTTTTTTATTATAGCCTCGCTGTCTGTGGCAGCTCCCAAACTATGAGAAACGTTATTACAGCCCAAGGCAAGAAGGGAAAATCTGCGGAGAGAAACACATGAGTCCTCCCTCCCCTGGGTCCATCATGAAATGGGTCACTAGGTGTGGAGAGAGGGAGGCAGGATCCCTGTTCCAAGAGGCCCCGCTGCCCAACCCCCAGCTGGGGCGCTGCTGTCACCTCTTCTTCTGTGCTGCTCCTTTATGCTCTCAAATCATAACAGAACTGGAGACTGCTGCCACAGGACCCTGCCACTTGAGGAAGCGGACGGGTCCCTGTAGCCACATGAGGTCCTCACTCCTGAGAACTGGTGAAGGGCCAGCGTGTGCCTGACAGCACGTGGCTTATTCAAGATTTGATGCTTTTGTGTGTAAGATGTTACAATCTTTTTCCTCTTTTTTTCTTTCTGGTAGAGCAAATATTGGTAAATTTGACAGGATCTGGGACAGAGGAGCATTAGTCGCTGTGAACCCCAGTGACCGTGGACGGTAAATAATGTGGTTTCTTTAATTGCATTGCTGTTTCTCTGTAGCAACCTGGGTGTAAGGCCTGCAGCTCTGTCACTTCCGGGCTGTGTTCCTTCCTTCACGTTACTCAACCTGTCCGAGCCACAGGTTGCCCATCCTCGAGTGGCCTCTTTCCAGTAACACCGTCTACACCACCTCCCTGGTCCTAGCGGGTGGCACCCACAGGATACTCGTCCTGTAGCTGGCATGGTCCCAAATCGCTAACAGCCACTGCTGCCACTGCACTGTGCACAGAAGGGAACGCGGGTCACAGAGTGCCATTCCTTGTCCCGAGTGAGGCAGCTGGCCCACGACAAACTGACCCAGAGTCCACACTCCGGCTCCTCTGCTCTGGCCCTGAGCCTGCACCAAACTAACAGCTTCCCGAGAGGCTGGGAAGTAGGGTCCCCCACTCCGAGAACCTGCTCTAAAGAATGATCCAGGGTTTATGCCCAGTCGAGCACTTCAACCTCAGGCCGCCTTGAACTTGACCCGCATGGCTGTCTTGTCCCACCAACTCACTAGCAAAGACGGGTGTGTTCCCACACTTTACCTTGGAGCCCAGAGCCCCCAGTGCCCGTTAGACTGCAGCAAACCTGTCGCGCCGTCTGGAGGCGGGCGCTCCAGCATGCTCCTTCCGTGAGCACCTTCCGTGAGCACCCGGTGATTCCGGTGCCGGCGGGCCTGGCAGCCACAGCCCCAGGGCACACAGGTGCTCGGCCTGCTGCAGGGAGCCTGAGGTCCGGGGCGCCTGAGCACACAGCAAGCCGGAGGGAGCCCCTCTGTGCTGCCCTCAAGTTTGAACAGCCCTGGGAACAGGCTTCCTCACCACTGCCTCCTTACCAGTTCCCAGGCTAGGCTGCAAGGCAAGGAACTTTTTTATAACTTTTAGACAAGAGCTAACTTACGGGCTTGTTAGAATCAAACTCTGCGGTGGTGCCTTGGTTCCCGAACTTGATGCCTTGCCCCATCCTGGGAAAGATGGTCCTGAGCGTGCTCCTGTCCCATGCGGAGTCCCAAATGAAAAACAAGTATTACCAAACGTCTGTGTTCCTGAACCCTGTGTTTCACAAACCGAAGCGCCCGTGAACCGAGGTACTGCTGTAACAGGGAAGAAAGCAGACCCTGCCTTCCTGCCTGCCTCGCCCTGCCCCTGCAGCCCGTGCGTGGACAGAGAAATGTGACTGTCGCCTTGCTTCTTTCAGCTACACTGATGCGGTGCTGTCCCTACTGAGAAGAGGGTTTCTCTACCTCTTGTCTGTTTTCTCTTACGATCCAACCAAACACAGAGGTAAAGCTGCTTGTTTTTCTTCCTGCCTTTTTCTGTTTTCCTGCTTGCTAACTGGAGTCTACAACAGGGATACGCGCTAGTTGATCCTGGTGTGTCTCATAGCGAACGCAGTGCCAACATCCGGGCACCTCGAGTCGCCTCTGTCCTGGGATAGCGGAGCTGCAGGCACGCTTGTTCTGCCCGACAGTGCGTGCTTTCACCTACTCCATCCTGTGTCGTTCACCAGCCATAGCTCGGGCTATAGAAGAGGGGGAGGAATGGAGGACCCTAGTGGCGAGCGCAATCCAGGAGCCCTAGATTGGAAGGGAGGAGGAGGCGAAAGCAGAGTTCTCTGGCCCGGATGTTCCAGAGCTCGCACGCACGCACGCACGCACGCACGCACGCACGCACGCCCGTGGAGTGATGGGCTGTGGGTGGACAGAGGAGAGCAGCAGCAGTCTGCGCTGTTGTGTTGTAACTTCTGATATTTTGTACTTTGCCTAGCCCACCCCGTTATGATGCTCTTTGCTCAGAAAGTCAAAGGGATTTTTTTTCCTGCGGATTCGTTTTGTTGAATTTGGACAGTGACACTGTTTTTTCACTTTGTGCGAGGCATGGAGCCCAGGGCCTTACGTTGTGCCCCTGCGCCACACCTCGAGATCTGGACTTTGAAACTTAGCACACGCACACGCGTGCGTGCGAGTGTGTGCTGCGTGCCGCGTGCGTGCGGGGGGGGGGGCCTCTGGCTTTGTCACAGCTGGAATTTTATTTTCAAGGAAAAATAACAAACCACATACATAGGCTTTTAATTCGTAAGACTCCCCTAATTTGATTTTTAATTGAACTTATTAAAAAGTGCTTTAAGATATGCAAAATGTTAATCTTCTTTTGTGTGCTTGAATAAATCAAATTTTAATAGTCCATTAATAAATGAGACCTGGTGTCCCTGTGTAATGGCAACAGGAGTCCATGGGGCAGACATCGCTCCGCGGGTCTGACTCAAATTCCAAGCGTGGAAGGAAGCCCAGGAAGAGAAAAGCACAAGAGAGACCCTGGAACTCCGCTGTCCCCAGAGGGCAGAGGGGAGGTTTCTCCTAACTTTGGGTCCCAGGGAAGAGTGGGAGGAGAACACCGAATTGTACAAGTTCACGAGGCTGAAAACCAGGGTCCCAGAGAAGGCGGAAACCCCAGAGGAATTTGCTAGTGCACTCCACTCTGTTTCAGCGTCCCGAGTCCCCAGGCTGGCTCCACCAGTAGTCCCATCTAAACTGCAGCTGGGTGTATACTGCTACTGTTCCCTGAAGCAAGTTTACCTCTTCAGTGTGAGAAAGAACCAAAGGCCAGGCCTGGTGACGCACACATTAGTCCCAGCACTCAGAAGGCCGAGGATTGCCAGCAGTCCAAGGCCAACCTTGGCTGCATAGTGAGCTCAAAGCCAGCCTGAACTACATGGCGAGAACCTATCTCGAAAAACAGCCACCCCGTCAGAAGGATATGCTGTACCCTCCTCACCTGTTTAAGTTGTAGTTGGGGCTGGGGAGTTAGCTCAGTGGCACAGAGCCCGGCTGGCAAGCATGAGGTCCTGAGTTTGATTCCCAGTACCAAAAAGAAATAATAATAATATAATAATAATAGGTATATATAGAACAAATACACCTAGGTCACAGGAGATGTGGGGAAAGGTAGACCTAGAGAGTTTATTTCATTTCAGAATTAAAGTTATAGAAATTGTTCTTCACAACATTTCTCTTATACCTAGGCCCACCATTTTATGTTCCAGATTCTGAAATTCAAACACTCTTTGGTAAGTTCTGCTTTGACTTTTCCAAAAAAGTTAGCAGTTAACCGTTCTGAGGAGTTAGGGGCTATTAGTATATATAAAGTGTGTACAGTTTAAAAGCTAGAGCTATTTTATTGCAGACCATTTTATCTAAAAATGGAAACAATCTCCATAATAGCCCTTTTTAGCTGAACGTTTTGATTGATTGATTGATTGATTGATTGATTGGTGGTGGTGCCAGGGATCCAACTCAGGACCTTGCACTTGCCAGGCAAGCACTTATTCCACTGAGCTATCTCCCCAGCCCTAGCTGAGCATTTTATGTTGAAGACATTTGGACTTTTCCAGAGAGGGAACACATTCATTTTTGCACTTGGGAGTTATAAACGATAGCAATAACTCAGAGTTCAGAAGCTGTAGGCTTACCATGTCCTTCCTTTCACTGAAGAGAAGATAAAGGCCTTCAGTGCATGCAGTATTTAAAATCATTTGTAGTATTTTTAGGACATTTGCCACAATGTTCTGACCTGTTCTTTTTGTTTTAGGTACAAGGTGCAATATCCGTTGCCTTGAAAAGGTTGATGATATTGAAAGACAGAACAGAATGAGAGTTGACTACTGTTTTGAAAAATTATATCTACTGACAGAAAAGTAGACAGATGATGGGTCAATAAAATCAAGTAACATCAATATGTTCTTACATTTCTGAGCAATTGAAAATCATGCTAAGGCTTGAAAATACGACGGGTGATTTTTTTTTTTAAAGTTCTTATGAATCATAAATCTTTGCTGAAAAATATATGTAACTTTTTAGAAGAAAACACATGATAACGTGTTAAAGTAGATCTTTGGAGAGAATTTCATGGTTCTGTCTTAACTAACCAAATGCAGGAATTTTTATGGTCCTTATATTTCTTATATAATTAAAAAATTAAAGAAAAAGTGTATTTATCTTGAAACAGAAGAAAACAAAAGCTGAGTTTTATATGAAATTTAGAATCACTGAAAAAAAAAAATGTAACACTTTGATAGGGTCAAGGTAGCCGGAAACACTGTGACAAGGACCGGCTTTTGCTATAGACTTTGATCTTGTACGCAGATCCCAGCACCCGTTTACACGTTTTCTCCATACGCATTTTTATATGTAACTGAATAAGGAAGTGTACAAATTCTAATCAAACTAGCCTATATAGAACAAAATGTTTTCCTCGAACTGTAGAATAAAGCTATCCCAAGTTGAGCGTGTGTTTTGGTTTCTTTTAATTAATCTTGTTTTCCTGGGCAACGGTTTTGAAGTGTAATGTACCCAGGGCTGGATTCAAGGCTACTCACCGACAGATTCTGGGAAGTCAGACGTGGCTCTGCAGCACCGCACCGCCTCATCCGGTGGACCGCACTGTGCAGCTCCTGCCGAGAGGGTGATGTGCATTCTAAAAATGATTTTGTGGCTGGGCTTGGTGGTGCAGACTTGTAACTTCAGGTACTTGGCCTCGGGCAGGAGGGTCACAAGTTCAGGGCCAGGCTGGACACCTCAGCAAGAGCCTGTCTCAAGACATAACAAGGGCAGGGCGTGCAGTGCAGAGTGACATCTGTGTTCAAGCTCCGGTACCAGGCAAAAAAAAAAAAAAAAAGTTTGTGTGAGTGTGCGCGTGGGCGTGTGCCCAGGTGTGCGCTGCGGGTCAAAAGTTGCTAAGAACAGGGAAGTCTTGGGATCCCACGAGTATTGACAACGCTGTGGGTATCTGCCTAATGCTTTGTAAAACACCCTCCCGCCGCTGCCCCGCCCTTCCTCTTTCTCCGCTTCCTCCTCCTCCCCCTTCTGTCTCTGCCTGTTCTATCTGTTCTGTTCCAGTACTGAGATCTGCCCCCAGCCTCTTTATCATTTATTTTTTGTTATTTTATTTTTTGAGAGAAGAGCCTTGCTGAATTTCACATGCGATCCTCCTGCTTCAGCCTCCCGAGAGCGGGAGGCGGAGGCGCGCAGGCGTGTGCCGTCACGCTGGGAGCGGCGGGCGTTCTGACAGTCAACCAATCACTGGGGCCGACGTTCTGTGTCTACTTCCGGCACCACCGTACGCCCCGCCCCGTCCCCAGTCCTCGGGTGGTTACCGCGAGCGTCCTTAGCAACGCAGAGCTCCCGGGTCTTCGGCGGCCGAGGTTGCAGTACCGAAGTTTGCCGCGCGGGGGCAGCAAAGGATAAAGAAAAGGCATAAAGGGCGTGGAAAGGGCCACGCTCGGGTCCGCAGAGCCCATGCCCTTGATAGTTTTGAAACAAGTTGGAGCGGAGACAAAGTAGCGACGAGCCAGCGAGAGCTGGGTGAGGCCTCCGCAAGGTTCTGCAATCCGGGCAGTCTTGGGCTGAGGCCAAAAAAGATCACAAGTTTGAGCTCAACATGGGCAGTTCATGACTTGGCCAGACACTATCTAAAAATAAACAATGAGGAGCCGAGGATGTGAGTCACCGTGCTGGCGCCGGGCTCCATCTCCACTACCTCTAAATAAGTAAGCGGGAAGACAGCGTCGCCCGGCTCAGCTTCGGGCGGCATCTGCTATCCCGGGACCCGCTGGGCGCCGAAAGCGGCTCAGGTGAAGCGCGATGCGCTGTGACTGCAGGGTGGCACCGGCTCACCCTGGCCACGCGAAGAGGAGGACGGAGTGTGTCGTTGCTGCTTCACGGCGGTTACAGCGGACGAAGGGAGAATGTCTCAAGATAGCATGGGCTGGGGCTGGGGAGATGGCTCGGTAGAATAAGCGCTTCCTTTGCAAGCGCCAAGGACCTGAGTTCAATCCCCAGTTCTGCCCCAAAAAACCAAAACAAAAAACAACAACAAAAAAAGATAGCATGGGTTATATTAAATAAATTAATTTCACTACTTTCTTAGTCTAAAATGTGATTATAACTTCAAAAAGATAATGCTTTGGCTATTTTGGGTTAAATAAAATATAGAACAAAATTAATTTTACCAGTTTCTTTTTACTTTTATTTTATTGTATTTATTTTGCGGTACCGGGCGGGGATTGAACTCAGGACCTTGAACTTGTCGGGCAGGCACTTATCCTACTGAACTCTACCCTGCCCAGTTTCTTTTTACTTTTAAAATGTGATTAATAAGCAAATTTAATGTATGATGTCACATTATATTTCTATTAAAAAACTAATTATAAAAATTTTCCACTCGATGTTCTAAATGTTTCTCGACTTAAAAATAAAAATGGGCTGGGGCTGGGGAAATGGCTCAGTAGAATAAGCGCTTCCCTGGCAAGCACAAGGGACTGACTAAATTCAATCCCTGATTCTAGGGGGGGAAAAAACCTTCTGACACAGAAAAAAAGAAAACTTCTGAAAGAAACTTCCATTGGATGTGATTTTAGTTATTTGTTTAGAGTATATTTTGAGATTACAGTGTTAAATTGGCTATTGTATTCTAAGTAGACGATCTTGGAATCACTTAACATTTAGTAAAAAAAAAAAAAGGTCCTTTCTTGTCTCACATTAAATCTTTCTCCAGGGTTGTTTTGTTTTGTTTGTGGTACTGAAGATTGAATCCAGGACCTTAGCGCTGAGCTACATCCTCAGCTCTTCTTATTTTTAATTTTGAGGCAGGGTCTTGCAGAATCACTAAGCTGCCCAGGTAGGACTTGAATTGACCCTCCTGCCTCAGCTTCCCACGGTACTGGAATTACCCGTGCGGGGCGCCATGCCTCGCTTCTCCAGGCTTTCCAACAGGGGGCCAGAATCCCATTTCTGGGAAGCTGGAGAGTGAGAGGACGAGCTCTCGCGGTTATGGTCACCGCGGGAGAGCAGAAACTATCTCCTTTGCGGCTTTGCCAAGGACTCTGCTCCCTTAAGACACTGGGGAAGGAGAGACCCGAAAACAGGGTTGCAGTAGGCTGTGGGTTCGGGAGCGGGATCACGCCAGGCCTGCCCAGAGACGCTCTTTGCTCTCAGTCGTCACTAAGACTAGAGACCCGAGCCCCGCGTCAGGACAAGCGCTCGGGGTCACGCGTGGCGTGGGCCACAGTCACTAGGCAGATCCCGCCGCCGGCCCTGCCAGCCCCGGGGGGCCCCCAGGTGAGCTGTTCCCTGGGAATCCGCTTGCCGCCCGCGGAAGAAGTTCAGGGTGCAGGGAAAGCGCCCAGCCTGGCTTCCGAGTCCAGCCCCGCCGGTTCCTAGCCAGGCAACTCTGGATCGGACCTTTAAGCTCCGAGAGCTCTCCCGTGGGAGAGGGGCGCTGCAGCTACACGCGCACAGGATGGCTTCACCTGCGTGAGAAAGGCAGGCGCAGAGGAACCGTATAGCCATCACCATTCCTGGGACGGGGCACTGAAACAGGGCCTGTCTGCGTGGTTCAGGTTGGCCTCGAATTCTCAGAGATCCTCCTGCCTCGGCCTCCCCAGCGCTGTGACCAGAGGTGTGTGTGCGGCCACGCCCACTACTGCCATCCTTACTAACTCTGGGCTTTCTCATTCCACATTCGCTCCTTCGGAGGACATTCCCAGCCACGCCCACCGCACACGCATTCTCCCAGGGGATTTCTCCTGCTGTCCGAGATCCGTCCTTCCCCCATAAGCAAATTTATTTTACAGGTATTCCCTAAACAGCTGCTTTCCTGCGGTGAAGCACGACGCGCCTGCCTCAGCCCGTGCGGTGCGTGTGCTTTCCCGGGCGGAGCCTGAGTACCTCGAGGGAAGGCAGCGTGTGTTCCAGGCGGGCTGCCCTGGGTGGGGATCGTTGCTGGGCCCGGCCTCAGCGGGCTCGGTTCTGGGGTGTGCCTCGCACGCAGCAGGCTGAGAAACGGGGAGCAGCCGGGCCAGGCCTGGGGACGCGCGCTGCACCCCTCGGGAAGCCGGGGCGCGCGCCGCGCACGCTGAGGCTCTGCCTGGGCAACTTAGCGAGCCCCTGTCGCAAAATTTAACAGGTGACTGGATAAAAAATAGTAATACAGGATGGCATTTCTACACAGCGGATCACTGTGCCATGAAGAAGGCTAAACGAGTTATTTGCGGGGAAAATGGAGGTTTGGGGAGGCCACTATATTAAGTGGAATAAATCAGACAACCAAGTTTAATTGTCACGTGATTTCTCTTATATGAGAAACACAAACTATAAATAAACAGTAAAATAAAAGGTAGATAGTAGGAAATAGATCTTTTGCGAAAGTGAAGGGAACCAGGAGGTACAGGAACGGGCAGGGAAGGAGGAAGGAGCGGACGGGAGGGCAAGAACCAGGACTGAGACGGTCGTGCGCAAGCGCAGGTGCCACGCCGAATGCGGGCGTTACCTACTGCAAACACGCACCAATAAAAATTGCAAAAGGGTGGGGATGTACGTAGCTCAGTGTGAAGGTCCGGGTTCAGCGCCAGTGCAAGGAAGGAAGGCCGGGACAGAGGGAGGAAAAAGAAACCAGCCACGCGCTCGGCCTCGGTGGAGGGCTCTGCTGTCTGCGCAGGCGCAGATGAATTCTAGGCGAACAAGCTATCAATCAGGTTCTCGGGAAACATACCGCGGCTGCCCGCCAGGGGGCAGCAAATCAAGGCCCGCAGCGCTTTAGGCCACAGCGCGGCCGTGGTCAAGGCCACGACCCGGAGCTGGGTGGGGCCTGCGGGGAAGAGAGGGGATGAAAGCGGAGGGGAGGGGAGGGGATGGGAGGGGAGGAACCTGCGAGGCGGGACCGGGATTGGGCCCAACTGGGCGGTGCCAACCCCGCGGGGGCCGGGGCCTATGGAAGGGACGGCCTGCGGGGGGCGGGGCCTATGGAAGGGACGGCCCACGGGGGCGGGGCCAAGCTGGCCTGAGGGGAGGGTGGGCCTGCGGGAGGGGCGGGGCCTACAGGGGGCGGGACCAGCGGGAAGGGCGTGCGTGCGGGGAGGGACCAAGCAGGACTGCGGGAGGGGAGGGCCTTAAGGGGCCGGGCACCGCCATGGCTGAGGCGCCGCCCGAGCTGGGCAGCCTCCTTGAGTGCGAAGTGTGCTGCGAGCAGTTTGACTCGGGGCAGCGGCGCCCGCTCCACCTGCCGTGCGGCCACGTGCTGTGCCTGGACTGCGTCACCCGCCTGGCGGACGCGCGCTCGTCGGCGCTCGCGTGCCCGTTCTGCCGCCGGGCCTGTGGCGCGCGCGACACCTGCGACTGCCGCCCGCT